TACCTCCTACAGCTCTAATGTGCTGCACAAAGAATAACCAAGACTTGGATGGACAAAACATGAGAGGGTAAGAGGAAACAAGAAAGTGGGGCTTTGGAGAAGGGGAATTACAGACACATCTAGTACTGGAAATGCCTGCAGCACAGATGTAGGCCTAGCCCAGAGCAAGATTATGTTGGGAATTATAGCTCATGAGATCACCAAACTGGCTCAAATATGTTATTGTTTCCAAATGGGGAAGATAACTCTGCAAGAATGAAATTATAACCATCTTCCACTATTATTATGTCATCTTACCCTCTGGAAAATAGCTGTACCTAAAAGAAGACCTCCTTTGAAGATTTTTTTAAAGAAAGAAAAGGAAAGGAAAAAAGGCATGGGTATATTGGTATGGCCTGGGAGAGCTACAGGCTAGATATAAGTATAGTTACCTGCCCATTTGGGCTTCTGATAAATCAGAAAGGACTCCTTCAAACATTGCCAAATCATATAACTGGAAGTGTTAAGGTCTAAGGATTCTGTTGATCAGTATCCTAGTAAGAATGTCAGACCTACCTCTCCTTGCTGTCAAGAGCTACTGAGTCATCTCTCAGGCTTCCAGGGTGAAGCTACTGAATTTGCAGTCCAGATTCCCCAGAGCCAGGGGGAATAGCTGCTCTCTGGCAGCTTACCTTAGGCTCCCTCTCCATCTTCTCCTCATGCCTCAGTGACACATTCATTCAATCTTCAGACACTGAGTAGTGTGGTATAGTATGAACAGTAGTCTATAAATTCTAACAGGGTATCCTCCCAGCTGTGTGACTCTGGGCAAATGACCTCATCTCTTTAACGCTCAATTTCTTCATCAGCAAACTGAGACTAAAAATATCCACCATGAACAGTTTTTGTGAAGCTTAACTGAGATGATATACATAAAGTACCTAAAAGGCCTTCCATGCTCATTAGTTTTCCTCCCAATGGTTTCCCACCTGCCTCACTAAACCTCCATTCTCCCTTCTCACCTGGCACTGACAGTGCACTGAAAGGACTCATGATGTGAAGGAAGTACATAATGGACATGATACAAAGAGACAAGTATAAAAAGAAATGGGTAAAAAGAAAAAAGAGCCCTGGGGAGAGAGATTTAATTCTTCTGAAGAGGTCAGGGCAGGTTTTATAGAGGTATTTATAGTTGGTGGGGCCTTGGAAGATGAGTTCATTTCCAAACTGGGATGACTCCACAAAGCAGAGGGAGGGAGTAGGGAAGTGAGATAGGGAAGGGAGTCAAGTCAGTAATGGGTACATTAATGAGCACATTACTACTATGGGCCACTAAGGCACACCACAACTTGCCGCACCAAGGGATGAGGAAGCTGGCATAGGTAAACACCAGCTCCCGTCTCTCACTGTTGTGGGATATTAAGCTGCCTGACCCTTCTGGCTTCTGCCATGCACCGGCAAAGCATGGTCCTATGGGCACAGCTCATTCTCAGTCAGAAAGACATGGGAGCCATCATCATACACAGGATCTGTCTGTAGGTGACCTCTGGAGTGGGCCAGGGAATATGGACAGGGCACTAATAGCATCTGCTACTGGCGGCTTAACATTTAACTGGACCAATCCAAAGATTTGGCCAAAGGCCATATGCTGGAACCCTAATAGCACTGACTCACATTTTATGACTTAATTATACTTCATATTGTTCTCATGTGTCATAGTCATGTCCCTTCAACTGGCATGTAAATTCCCTGGAGTCAGAGATGATGTTCTCTGCTGGGCACATAACAGGCCCTCATTACCACACAACTGACCATTCAATCTTGTATCTTCTTCAATAAAGGTCTCTGTTTTGCATATTATATGGCTGGATACATTCTGGACAGGCCTCGTATATTGAGCCTTACAAGAGCCCATTGGGGGAGCTCATGATTGCCCACATTTTGAAGATGAGGAAATAGTGGTCCCTGTTGGTATAGTGGCAAATCAAGATTATGCAAATAGCAGGTGACAGGCATAGGGAGGGCTCTAACCCTAGATCTTACCACCTTTGTACTATATCAGGCTGTCAACAATAATGTTTTAACCAATTATTTATGACAGTGGTTCTATACTTTGAACATGCATCAGCATCACCTGGAACACTGATTAAAACATAGACTGCTGGGCCCCACCCTCAGAGTTTCCAATTCAGCAGGTCTACAGTGGGTCTGACAATCTGCACTTCTAAAAGCTCCCAGGTGATTCAGATGCTACTTGCCTGGAGCCACACATTGGGAACCACTGCTTTCAGAAATCAATTCATATGAGAGTCAGAGCAAGAAATACATTCAGCAGCCATAAGCATCCACCTAAGTTTTCCCTACTAAAGTTTGTTTCAGAGCCACCTGCTCTGTTTCATCATTTTAAATATACTTTTTAGAAAAGACTTATTTCTGCTAAGCAGCTTTCATTTTGATGATTTTTTATGTGTTCCATTTTCCTTCCTCATCTGCCCTTGTGATGGAAAAAGCTCTGAAATGTTAGACCAAAGATCTAGTATCTAGTCTGGCTCCACCACTTTGTAACCAATGGTATCTCTGGGGACATTTACTCATCAGTATTGTAGGGACATTTGACTTTTTCTCAGCTGATCCCACAGTGAGTTGATGTGTATGGGCATAGTTAACATGAATGTTACATGGCCACAATAGAATTCATGTCCCATGATGTATATCTAGAGGAGTTTCCTCTCCCTACTTCTCCCAGTTGTGTAGACAGTGGTTCTCAAAGTATACTCTCTGAACCAGTCACATCAATATTACCTAGGCGCTTGTTAGAAATGTCAGTTCTTAGGCCCTACCCCAGCCCTACTGAATCAGAAACTCTGGAGAAAGAATCCAGAAATCTGTATTTTAACAAGCCCTCCAGATGTTTCTGATGCAAATTCAAGTTTGAGACCTCTGATTTTATGGTTTAGAGTACAAAATTCAGAGCTCAGTACAAATCCCAGTCCAGCCACTTCTTTAAGCAAGTTATTTCTCCAAGCTTCAGTTTCTTGATCTAAGAATTGTGATCTCCTTTTCATAGGTTTGGTTGAGAAGCTTAAGAGAGTGAATGTAAAGCACTGGCACATTGTGAGTGGTCAGTTTACATTAAGCTCTTTTTTTTTTTGTAAAGTATTGTAGCCTCTTGACAAAATGCCCCAGTGCCTTCTTTTTGAAGGACTGTTTATTGTGTTTTAATATGTTGGGATGTTTTCCATGGATTTTGTGTTCATGTATGTGTGTTGTGTATATATGTTGTCTACGTTATTGTTATTTGTTCCTAGTAGATATTTGCTTGGTCCTTCTACTCTTCTGAATAAGAAAGGTATTTCTCTGTCTGTCCTTAATAATGTCTTTTTAAATAACATTCTTAAGGAACATTCTTTACATTTGCATAGCACTGTATTATTTTGGTAGTTGTACCCATAGATACTGCACCCCCAAGATTTCTAGCCTTTTTACTGCCTTCTTCTCTGAAGAAGAGAAGAAGCCCTTTCTCCTGCTTTCATAAGCTTCTAAAGATCCTCCTTTCTGATAATCATGCTACTTCATTTGGCTGATTCTCTGTCTCCCCTAAATTCCCATGCAGAAATGTCTTCAAGTTCATACTTTTAAAAACAAATAAACACCTCACATATTTGAAATAGACCCTCACATATACAGAAATTTGGTTTTTGACAAAGCTTCCAATGCCACTTGGTGGGGAAATCAGTCTTTTCAACAAATGGTGCTGGGAAAAGTAGATATACACATGCCAAAGAATGAAGTTGGACCCTCACCTTACGCCATATACAAAAATGAACTCAAAATTGACGAAAGGACCTAAACATAAGAACTAAAACTATAAAACTCTTAGAAGAAAATATAAGGTAAAATATTCATGACATTGGATTTGACAGTGATTACTTAGATATGACAGCAAAAGCACAGGCAACAAAAATAAAAATAGATCAATTGAGATTTATCAAAGTTCAAAACTATTGTGCATGAAAGGATACTGTTAAGAGGGTGAAAGACAACCCACAGAATAGGAGAAAGCATTTGCAAATCATATATCTGATAAAGGATTAATATCCAGAGTACATAAAGAACTAAAATTCAACAACAACAAAAACCCAACAACCCAATTCAAAAATGGGCCAAAGAGTTAAAGATATTTTTGCAAAGAAGATATGCAAGTGACTAATAAACACATGAAGGATACTCAATATCACTAATCATTAAGGAAATGCAAGTCAAAACCACAATGAAATGCCATTTCACACCCATTATCAAAGCAACAGAAAATATAACAAGTGATGGAAAAGATATGGAGACCTGGAATCCTTGTGCCTTGCTGGTAGGAATGTAACATGGTAAAGCCACTGTGGGAAACACTTTGGCAGATCCTCAAAAAGTAATACACAGAACTACCATATGACCCAGCAATTCCACTGCTAGGTATATATACCCACAAAATCTGAAAGCAGAGACTCAAACAGATACTAGTACACCAGTGTTCAAGGCATTATTTACCATAGCCAAAAGATAGAAATAACCCAAATTTCCATGGACAATGAATGGATAAATAAAATGTGGAGTATTATGCAGCCTTAAAAAAGGAATGAAATTTTGATACATGCTATAATATGGATGAACCTCAGAAACATTATACTAAGTGAAAGAAGTGAGACATTAAAGATAAAATATATGATTCCACTTATATGGCAAATTCATAGCAACAGAAAGAATAGAGGTTATCAGGGACATGAGGGAGTTGGGAATTGGGAAGTTGTTCAATGGGGACAGAATTTCTATTTGAAATGATGAAAATGTTCTGGAAATTAACAGTGGTGATGGTAGCACAAAATTGCGAATATATTTAATGCCAGTAAATTGTACACTTAACAATTCTTAAAATGGCAAGTTTTATGTTATGTCTATTTTACCACAGTAAGAAATTCCTAAATGAATACACACATACACATACACACAATGAAGGAAAACAGGCACCTTACCTTCCAGGGATGTAACCAGAATGACATGAAGACAAATGACAAGGAATATCTTCAACATCAGTAAATGTTCTTCAGTTTTGCCAACATGGCCACACTGCCCACCAGAGAAAAACATCCTAGAATAAAATAAGAGGAAAACATCATCACAGCTTGCCATAATCACAATACAGCAATACCCAAAAGGTCAGTTCCTCAATCAAGGTAAACTGCAATCCTACTTCCTTTAAATCACTGTAGTTGGAGAGAATTGGCAATAACAGGTGGGCACTGGCTACAAAAAGCAAAACCCATGTTTATTATAGGAGGACCACTCATTGGGATATTATGTTATGTTAAAAATGTTGCCCTGGCTGGTGTAGCTCAGTGGATTGAGCGCGGGCCTGCAAACCACATGATTGTGGTTCGATTCCCAGTTAGGGCACATGCCTGGGTTGCAGGCCAGTTCCCAGCAGGGGACTCACAAGAGGCAACCACACATTGATATTTCTCTCCTTCTCTCCTTCTTTTCTTCTCTAAAAATAAATAAATAAAATCTTTTAAAAAATGACAAGCAAGGTCACCTATGTGGATTTAAGGAAATCATCAACATATGCAAAATATCAAGAAGAAACTAAAAATACTGTATATATAATTATTACCACTAAGCTAGTTTAAAACTGCTAAGAATCAGAAGGGGGTGACAGAATCTTATAAATAATCTACTCTTGTTTATGTCTTATTTTATAAGGATGGGTACACTGCATTTACTCTTAATTATATGTTTAGTTTATTATCATTGCTTGCATTTTTAGTAGTCAGGAAGGCAGAGTCAACATTTTTTAAAAAGCAAAATTTATATCAGAACCAAATTTTAAAACCTCATTTACCATTAATTTATTCACTCATCCAACACATATTTATTGAAGGCCAACATATGTCAGATGAGATGTGAGGGTTGAATAGGAGTTAACTAGATGAGACACCTGTGGTGGAGGTGGGACAGGATTTTGGGGGAGATCAGCACACAGAATTAGAATTACACATGCTAACACTGTGTCTGTTCTTCTCATAGCTGGGGAGTAATGAGAGCCCAATGAGTAGGCTTCCTCTGTAAGGCCCCAGGTGAAGTGGCTGCGACAGACCAGGGTCTGTGCTCTCAGTTGATAGACCTCCTAACCACAGAGCACCCATGAACCTCACCACCACTGCAACTTCTGCCAACCTAAGACAGAGTGTTTGTGTAGTGGTGAGAACTAAAGAGATGAGTTCATAGGTCCTAGCCACAGTATGTCTGAGTGACATTGGAGAGGGTGCGTTCAATGGATAAGATTCCCCATTTGGCAAATTGTGATGAGAGCACCAGCCTACCTGGATAGTGTTGCTGTGTTGAGTAAATGAGACCTCACACAGTGGCTGGTACCATGAAGGCATTATAAATGCTAGCTGCACTCTCCCCTCTTTCAGTCAAATAATGGGTTACAGGGATGAGATCATGGAAAGATGGGGATAAACCACAATTTCTCAGTCACAGAAAAAAGCTGGCAATTTTTAAGAATCTTGTAATTCAGTAGCCATCACCAGTACCAAGGGGTGATTCGTTCCTGGTTTTAGACCAGAAGTTGAATCCTTCTTCCAAAGAGGGCTTACATTTTTAAAATCAATAAACTGTGTGTGTGTGTGTGTGTGTAGTGTGTGTGTGTATATATATATATATATATATATATATATATATATATATATAATTATACTACATTGATATATTGTAAATTGCCTCTGGTTTATCGCTCCTCTTCAGTGCTTTTATCCTCTCTCTATTCATAATTGCATATTATTGACCCTCCCAAATGAGTCACTCAAAAGAGAATGCTAATATAGTATGCAAAAATGTAGCAACATCTCCCTGGAGGAAAATTTAAATGTTTGTTACAGCTACACAAAAGACTGATGAATCTCAGAAATATAATGTTAGATAAAGGGGTGAAATATAAAAAAATGCATATTGTACATGGTTCCATTCATCTGAGGAACAAAAAGCATGCAAAACTAATCTACGGAATAAAAACTCAGAAGAGTAGTTGTCCTTGGAAGGGGGAAGAAGATGTAATAATTAGGAGGGGGCACAAGGGGGCTTCTGTTACATGGGTGTGTTCAGTCCCTGAAATTCACTGACTTGTGTGTGTGTGTGTGTGTGTGTGTGTATATATATATATATATATATATATATATATATATATATATATATATAATATGTCATAAAAAGTTTCATTTAAAGTTTAATAATGAATCTATATTTTATTTCTGAACTCAGTTCCCCACCAAAGAACATTGCTCTTTTTGAAAGCTCTATTTAGTGAACTAAACTTCTGTTTAAAAAAAAATGATCCTCTCTTCTGTACAAATGCCTTAGACTCAATGCTACCTGGAATTCATAAAGCTGACTTAGGTTTACTGCACATGTATCTAATTTTAGTTTTGGAAAAAGTATCAGAGCACTTTATTTCTGGAAAGGAACTCAGATTCAGAAATCTTACCTCAAACCCACATTCTACAGATGAAGAAAGAGGCCCAGCATGCTGTAGGGGATGGGTTAAGGTCATTTGGCTGTTTGATGGGACTCCTACCCTTTCTACCAAGCCACGATATTGGCCTCCTGAGAATTTGTCTCCTTGGAAGTAAATTATTTTGTGTCCAGCAGGGGGAGAAAATTAATTCAAAATGTTATTTACACAATTTCAAAATTTCTACAAGCTTCTAGGGTAGGACCTAAGTGGTACATAAAATATGGCCAGTTAAATTAATCAGTGACTAGTTATTATGGGCTAAAGCTTGGGACTCTGATAAAAATAAACCATGCCTTTCACTGGAGAGAGCTTGTACTCAACTCCCAAATGAGGTCAGGAAAGGTCAGAAAAAATGGTGATTCCAGCAATCATCCTGAAAAGAGAATGTAGATCAAGAAAAACCCAGTAAAGATCAGGCATCATTGAAAAGACTGTTTTCAGTTGGTAAGACTGGAATGTTTCCTCAAAGCTGAATATATATCTATTCCTAATAAGAAGTTTTATGGTATTTGAAGTAATATAGCTCCTGTTACCTTTTTGCATAAACTAGAGATCATTCTCTTAGGTCGTAAGGTTGCTGGAATCTTTGATCAAAGAAGGAAATCTGTAGATTTTTAAACCCTTACTCATTTTATTATTTCTCAGCTGGAACTTTTCTTCACCTTCTAGTACAAGTTGGATTAACTCAATGCTATCTAAGTCATCAATAAAGATAATTTGAATAGCTACTGGTTCTTAGCAAGTTTTCATGGTGCTAAGGAGTCTGCTGAGATAGTATCAATTACAAAGAAGACAAGCAAACCAATTAAAAAATAGACAAAGGACTTGAACAGACACTTCTCCAAGGAGGACATACAGAGGATCCAGAGACACATGAAAAGATGCTCAATATCACTAGCTATCAGAGATTCAAATTAAAACCACGAGATACGACGTCACACCCATCAGAATGGCCATCATAAATAAAGCAACAAACAACAAATGTTGGAGAGGCTGTGGAGAAAAGGGATCCCTAGTGCACCATTGGTGGGATCGCAGACTGGTACAACCACTATGGAAAATGGTATGGAATTTCCTCAGAAAAATAAAAATGAATCTGCCTTTTGACCCAGCAATTCCACTGCTAGGATTACACTCTAAGAACCCTAAAACACCAATCCAAAAGAAACTATGCACCCCAGTGTTCATAGCAGCACAATTTACAATAGCCAAGTGCTGGAAGCAACCTAGGGGCCCATCAGCAAATGAATGGATCCAAAACTATGGTACATTTACAGAATGGAATTCTATGGAGCAGAAGGAAATAAGGAGCTCCTACCCTTTGTAACAGCATGATGGAACTGGAAAGCATTATGTTGAGTGAAATAAGCCAGGTGGTAAAAGACAAATACCATATGATCTCACCTTTAACAGGAACCTAAACAAGAAAACAAACAAACAAACAAGCAAAATATACTCAAAGACACTGAAATAGAGAACAGGCGGACAGCGACCAGAGGGGAGAGGGGAGGGAATTTCAGAAGAAAAGGGGAAGGGTTTACAGGAACCACTATAAAGGACACATGGACAAAAATTAGGGGGGCTGGAAATTGGAGGGAGATGGGAAGGGTTGTGTGGGTGGGCTGGGATGGGAGTAAATGACAGAAAACAATTTGAACAATTAATATATATGTAAAACACTTTGCTAGCATTTAAATAGTAAAATCTGGACATTGAGAATCGACAACTTCTGATTAAAGATTATCCCAGATTCATCTTGGTCCTGGGCCCCTTTTATAGTTGTGGACTCTGATATAAATGGCAACCCCTAGGGTTATATATTGCATGAGCTACATGAATGTATGCCATGGCCCTGCTTGGACCACTCTAAGAAATTGTTCTACATCTCCTCAATTTTATTTTAAATACTATCACTACCATATTTTTAAAAATCTACATCATCAGTGCAAGTTTGAATGCCAATAAGTGACAAATCTATCTTTATCTAGATATATAATAAAGAGTAAGATTAAAAAAGGAAACAGCTTGATACCACTATAGAGCAAGCCTGGGTGAGATTTATTCTATGTTACTTCTGTTTAACTGGCATACTTTTATTATATCATGGCTGCTATGGTGTAAACAATGATCAGTATTTTCGACTTGAGTAACAAGACATATAATTGTTTCCTAAGTTTTCTAGAGACTCTTTATGCCTTTGAGATGTTTACATTGAGTCCTAGGTGTTGGTGAACAAGACTAGCACAAGGGGAAATTATGAAGGAAGGTACTGAAGAGTTTCTCAGTTCTGATAAAGCAAGAACTAAAAGGCGAAAAAGCAATTGACTGGGATCATTCAACTGTCAAAAGAATCGGAGAAACTCAGGGTTGTTTTTTGTTTATTTTATTTTATTTTATTTTATTTATTTTATTTTATTTTATTTTATTTTATTTTATTTTATTTTATTTTATTTTATTTTATTTTATTTTATTGTTGTTCAATTACAGTTGTCTCTATTTTCTCTCCAACCCTCCTCCCCCCCCCCCCCAAACCCACCTCCCTCCCTGGCTTCCACCCTCCCCCTTGGTTTTGTACA